AAAGTGTGGAGTGAGGAGTGTACGGTGGAAAGTGTAAGTGTGGAGTGTAGAGTGTAAAGTATAAAATTTGGAGTTTAAAATGTAGAGTGTAAAATGTAGAGTGGGAAATGTGGAGTGTGGAATAAAGAATACAAAATGTGTAGTAAGGAATATAAAATGTAAAATATCGAATTAGGAGTGAAACATATGTAAAGTGCTGAATATAAAATTTAAAATGTGGAGTGTAAAATATGGAGTGTGGAGTATAAAGTGCAAAGTATGGAGTAAAAAGTGTGGAGTAAGGAGTGTAAAGTGTAGAATGAGGAGTGTACGGTGTAAAGTGTAGAGTGTAAAGTATAGATTGTAAAGTATATAGTGTAAAGTGTAGAGTGTAAAGTGTGGAGTGGAAAGTGTGGAATGTAGAGTAGGGAGTGTAAAATGTAAAGTGTGGGGTGAGGAGTAAAAAATATGAAGTATAAAGTGTGGAGTGTAAAGTGAAGAATATGGAATGTGGAGTGTAGAGTATAGAGTGTGGAGTGTAGAGTGCAAAGTAAAAAATGTAGAGTATAAAGTATGGAATGGGGAGTGTACAGTATATAATCTATAAAGTGCGGAGTACGGAATATGGAGTGTAAAATATAGAATATAAAGTGTAAAGTGTGGACTATAAAATGTAGAAAGTATAGAGTGTAGAATGCAGAGTACGGAGTGTAAAGTAAGGAGTCTAAAATATAAAGTGTGGAGTGTAGTGTGTGTAAAGTGTAGAGTATTATAGAGTATACAGTGTGAAGTAAAGTATGTGGAGTATGCGGAATGTAGAATATATAGAGTATGTGGAGTGTATGGAGTGAGGAATAGGGGATAAAAAAATATGGAATATGTAGTAGGTAAATTGTAGAGTGTAGAATATGCAATAGGTAAATTGTAGAGTGTGGAGTATAAGGTGTGGAGTGTAAAGTGTAATGTATAGTGTGTAAAATATAAAATAGGGAATAAAAACCGCCGAGAATCATAAAATTTATTATAAATCCCCCAAAAATCCACCAAATCACCAAAATTTCACCAAAAACCATCAAAAACCACAAAATCCACAAAAAAACCAACAATAATCCACCATATGGATTTTGTAGTTCTACTC